TACATGCAGTATCTGCAGTACATGCAGTACATGCAGTATCTGCAGTACTTGCAGTATCTGCAGTACATGCAGTATCTGTAGTACATGCAGTACCTGCATGTGCCTGCAGTACATGCAGTATCTGCAGTACTTGCAGTATCTGCAGTACATGCAGTATCTGCAGTACTTGCAGTATCTGCAGTACATGCAGTACCTGCAGCACAAGCAGTTCATGCAGTTCCTGCAGTACCTGCAGTATCTGTAGTACATGCAGTATCTGCAGTACATGCAGTAGTATTTGCTGAGGGTCCTGTTCCTCTGACGTCTGCACATTCCTGAGCGCTGCATGTGTTTATCTGTTCTTTATTTATGTAAGTCTCAGGTCTCTGTCCTTAGACCCGGGCTAAGCTCGCTTTTTGACTCTTTAGGACCCAGCAGACTCTGGTGTTTGGACTCTTTAGGACCAAGCCCCGGTGATCCAAGATGGTGCGGTCAGCACTAGATCATATACGGAATCAGGACGGAAGCGGAAGTAAATATAACAAACTACCTATTTATGCCTAAACTTAACCAGCCATTCCTATAAAATAACCCCAACCCAGCTTTAACCCTAACCTTAACCATCTTAATCAGACGCCTAAAACTTAACCAGTCACCACTTAAGAACTTTTTAGTCTAAAACTAATTTGAAAGTAGGATTGCTACTTCCGGTTTCGTCCCGATTCCGTATATGATCTAGTGCCGACCAAGATGGCGACCTATTCAAATGAATGGCTTGTGCTCTGTAGCTCATGGGACTTCACGGAGACTGGGAGATTAGCAGAACTCGACCATATTTGGACATCATCTGGTCCTCCCGGTTCTGTGCAGTGGATTATCTCCCATGATGCTTTGCGCCAAATATGCGTGTGTGGCTCTCATGCACGTGCACAGAGGGGCTCGGCCGCGCTAACCCCAATCAGAGGGAAGTGTTCTGGCCAATCAGAGCTGCTCATCAGAGCGGAGTCAGAGCGGGAGGGAAAGGAGCAGAGTTTGTGGCAGTAAAGTGTGGATTTAAAGAAAACAGAAGGATTTAAGAAGAAAAAAGTTCAGGATGACAAGGGACACTAAAATCCCCATAAAATCTGATTTTTATGAAAGCTGTAGGTTCTCTGTCAGGTTCTCTGTCAGGTTCTCTGTCAGCCGAGGTCGAGCTGTTTTAGTTTACATTGAGTGTAATGGGACTTTTTTCTGGGTACGTGAAGTTAGTTTGCAGTACCACAGCGCCCCCTGTGGCCATGTATGGGACAGCTGTAAACTAATAATACTCTATCCAGTTATTATTATAGATCCATGTTTAGGACCCAGCAGACTCTCGTGTTCTGACTCTTTAGGACCCAGCAGACGTCTGGGTTTGGTTGAAGATAAGAAGGATTCATTTATGGCTTTATTTATTAAAAGAAGAATTTTAAACATTATTCTGTACTCCACAGAAGCCAGTGGAGTGATTTTAACACCGGAGTTATGTGCTCCCTCCTTCTGGTGCCTGTTAAGATCCTTGCTGATGTATTCTGAACGAGCTGGAAGCTGTTCAAAGAGGTTTTAGGGCACGCTGCTGTCATAACAGCGGACGGCATAACCAGGGACTGCAGATGGAAACTAGCTGTTTAGCTATAATCTGGTGCAGAACATATCTGTCTTTGAGCTTAATGTCTCTGTACACTGTCCCTTCAAATAAAGACTAAACTAAACTAAACTATAACTCGGCTCAAATAGAAATGACAGAAACACGCCAAACCGTTGCCAACTGGAATAATGTTTATTAATAACCAAACTTTATGTTTTAATGGGGTGTGTAAGTATGTAGTGGGTGCGTGCGAGTGTATGTGCTGTGAGGGTAAGTCTGCGGTGTTGAATATCCATCCATCCATTTTCTTCCCCTTAATCCATTTCTGGGTTGTGGGGGGGTGGCCAGAGATGCCACTCAGTACACATAGCACCAGCCTCTCACTGATCCTCCTGCAGGTGGTGAGTCCACAGGAGCTGAGATCTTTTAGTGGGGGCTTCAGGCAAAGTGGGGTTAAGTGTCTTGCCCAAGGACACAACAACAGCAGTCATCAGTGGGAGCCGTGAAGTAGGTCTTACAGTGGGCTCGAACCCACGACCTTCAGGCTTAAAGGCCAATGCTCTACCAACTGAGCTACTGTAGCCCAGTAAGTCTGCGGTGTTGAATAGTGTGTAGAAAATAGACCACAACCTAAACTAACCAAAACTAACCAAACCAAACCAGAGCAAACCAAACCGAAGGAGGCGGGGCACGCAGGTGGCAGGATGGGAGCGGAATGAGCCAACAAGAATGTCTGGCATGCGCAGGAGCTTTAAAGGCGCGGCTCCGTCTGACGCACCAATGAGCGCAGCTCCCATCTGAGAGGAGAGGCTATACGGCCTGGTAGTGGCCGTAACACAAGCGTTTAATGTCCAAGTCCAGGTCATATCTTTTCCCAATGTCTATGAGTTGTTCCTTTGTGCATTGGAACCAAAACTCCTCAGAGGGAGCATAAAAAAGTCACAAAAAGGATGTTCACCATCCTTCTCTGTTTCCCAACCCAGTCCAGCAAAAATCAATGTAAGCTAAAGTGTCCAAAGCAAACGTACACCCAAAATGAGGGTGCACTACAGTTGTCACTTTGAGGTGACAAAAGCTTGAATCTGTTTTTCAGCGTCACTTTTAGGATATTCCTGATTTTAGCGATGTTCCGCAAGTGGAAATACGCTGTTTCAGTTTCTGGGTTTATATAAGCCTTAAAGGAGAATTCTGTTTCTATGCTGACGTCACAGAGTTGATGGTTCTATGCTGACGTCACAGAGTTGATGGTTCTATGCTGACACAGAGTTAATGGTTCTATGCTGACGTCACAGAGTTGATGGTTCTATGCTGACGTCACAGAGTTGATGGTTCTATGCTGACGTCACAGAGTTGATGGTTCTATGCTGACGTCACAGAGTTGATGGTTCTATGCTGACACAGAGTTGATGGTTCTATGCTGACGTCACAGAGTTGATGGTTCTATGCTGACGTCACAGAGTTGATGGTTCTATGCTGACGTCACAGAGTTGATGGTTCTATGCTGACGTCACAGAGTTGATGGTTCTATGCTGACGTTGATAAACATTTTAAAGTTCAGCTCTGACGTAAAGATGAGGTCAGGGTCCGGTTCCTTCAGCTTCCTCCAAACTCTATATTTAGAGCTGCTCTTTCCACTTCCTGTTTGTGAATGTGACTGAAACAGGAAGTGTCATAGAGAGACTGCTCTGTGAGGACTGCTAGTCCTCTAGTCCTTCAGTCCCACAGTTCCCAGAGGTCTCCCATCCCAGCACTACCCAGGCCCTCTCTGATGTTCTCTCATTAAATTGTATTCTCCTGGTCCTTTATTTATTTTTTTTTCATAGAGATCTGTCTCTTTGGAATAATAAAGTGTTGTGTTGTTGTGTTGTGTTGTAATGAAGTGTATTTGCTCTTGTTGCTCTTAGACCCAGACAGAGGTGTTCTGCCGGGACCTGTCCCTCCGGACCGTTCCGCAGAACCTCCCCGAGGGCATCCACACCTTAGACCTGTCCCACAACCAGCTCCAGAACCTCAGCTTGGAAACCCTCGCCTTTGCCCACAGTCTACACCGCCTCAACCTCCGCGGGAACAAGATCCATTTCATCCAGCCCGGTCTATTCGCCGCCATGACCCAGCTCAAAGTCCTGGACCTGTCCCGCAATCACCTCAGCGCCTTCGCTGTGCACAGAACCCAAGTCGGACCGCTGAGGTCTGTAGAGTCTCTGGATCTGTCGAGTAACGGACTCTACACGGACATGACCGCTTATTTCCTGAGCGATTCTCCGGTGTTGCTCAATCTGTCTCTCAGTGGAAACAGCCTCACCAAGATCTCCGGCGACGCCTTCAGGGGATCCCGACTGCTGCGGAAAGTCAACCTTCACAACAACGTGATCATGGAGATTGAGGATGGCGCGTTCGACTCGCTGGACCACCTCGCGGATCTCGACCTGTCCAAGAACTCCATCAACTGCATCACAGACTTCAACCTCTACAACTTGAAGAGCCTCAACCTGAGCCAGAACAGCCTGGAGCTGTTCCAAAGCACACCGTCTGACGAGATCTCCAAACTGGTTTCCCTGGACTTGAGCCAAAACAAACTTCCACTTCTGCCTCTTATTCCCAGGAAGAACAAGCTGGAATACCTGGACGTGTCTCGAAATCAAATTCAAGGCGTCAACGTCACGGGGAGCTACCCCGGACAGATATTTTTCCTTTGCACGTGTCTCGTCCAACCTCCCAGTTCCACAAAGCATTACAACTGTTTCCACCACTTACGATTCCTCGACATGAGCTACAACAACTTCCAAACCTTACCCGAGTCTCTTTTCTACACCATGCTTTCGCTCGAGGCCCTGAACGCTAGCAACAACTGCATAACGTCTTTCATTCTCACTTCTGATCTTCTGCCCAAAGTTCGCACCCTGGACTTGAGCGACAACTCACTGCAAACATTTGAGATCACTGAGAAAAGTCTGCCATTGCTTGAGGAGCTGTATCTGAATGGGAACATTCTCAGCACCTTGGACTTCCAGACCTTCCAAACTCTTCCTAATCTTCGGCGATTACATCTCCAGCAGAACGCCATCCGGATATGTCCGCACAGCTTTGCCGATGCAGCACCTTGCGTCTCATTTAAGTCCAACCCCAATTTAGAATATCTCAACCTCTCTGAGACCCACCTTGAGACAGTTCCAGCCCTCGCTTTCAGGAACACGTCTCTCAAACATCTAGATCTTTCCCTCAACCCCGGCTTGGCCTTGCATTACAACTCCTTCTCGGGACTAGAACACACTTTGGTGCGTCTCTTCTTGAAGGAAAACAACATAACTGTTATAAAGTCAGACTTGGCTTTGCTTACGAGTTTGAAGTACGTGGATCTTTCTACCAACCAACTCACCGCCCTCCCCACGTGGAACCGAGAGTCCTCCATTGAGTCCTTAAACTTGCAGAACAACAACCTGGTGACTCTAGACTACAGCACGGTTCTGGCGCTGGAACATTCGCTGAAGACGCTGTACGTGGGATCCAACCCGCTCAGCTGCTGCTCCAACCTGCCCTTCCTACAGATGCTCCAGAGGTCGGCCGTGGTGGTGCCGGACATGGATGCCGTCACCTGCGTCTACCTGGAGGACTCTGAGCCGGTGAACATGGAGAAGGTGACCCAGGAGATGTGCGAGAACCTGCAGAACGGCAGCGTGAACGTGGTCATGATGGCGGTAGCGGCGCTGGTGCTGATCGTGGCCCTCGTGCTCCTCGTAAAGTGCTGTCAGTCCAGGAAGAACAAGAGTCGGAGTCGGAGTTGGAGTTACAGGGCGTAGACTTTCCCTGAAGCAGAGGTCTCAAACACAAAAGGTTCTGTGGCCCCCTAGTGGACATCAGACTGTAGTGTTAGTGCTGCCCTCTAGTGGACATCAGACTGTAATACCAGTGCTGCCCTCTAGTGGACATTAGACTGTAATACCAGTGCTGCCCTCTAGTGGACATCAGACTGTAGTGTTAGTGCTGCCCTCTAGTGGACATCAGACTGTAGTGTTAGTGCTGCTCTCTAGTGGACATCAGACTGTAGTGTTAGTGCTGCTCTCTATTGGACATCAGACTGTAGTGTTAGTGCTGCCCCCTAGTGGACATCAGACTGTAATGCCAGTAATGCCCTCTAGTGGAGAGTCTTTGCACATATGTTATAATGTTATACATCATTTATTCTGCCATAAACATTACTAAACCCGAAGCTTTGTTTTAGTCCAGTTCAGTTCCAATCACAGCTGTTTGAGTTCGAGACCCTGGACCTGACGAGAACCAAGAGCCTTCTTCAAGGTCACTGCACATTTCCGTCATGTTTATAATCTTTGTGGAGGAGAAAAAGGAGTAGGATCCAGACACACACACCATGAAGAGGATGATGTCACACCATCGTCTGGATTCAGACACAACTGCTTTACAAACAACATGTTTTATGAATCGGAGCAACAGGAGCCACAGCAGCCACAGGTGCAGAGGCCTGAGCATCTTTAAAAAGATGGATCTGAAGTTACTGATCTTGAAATGGTCCAAAATACACCTGTTCATAAAGTCAGCAGCTGCTCTCTGGGAATGTATCGTGAAAGTCAAATACTGTCAACAATGTGGAGAAAGAGACAGTGTTTCTAACTTTCATTTGTATTTGTCTTAAAGGGACAGTAGGTCATAGTTTCATGTGTCACATCATCTTTGACCTGAAAAATAAAGTAAAGTGGACTTATTCTTACACCAGGCGGGATTGTCCAATCAGAGAGCAGGACACGGCTCCCATTTTAGTCTCCAGGAACAGTCTCTCTGAACCCAAATGGATTCAATTAAATGTATTCTTGTTTCGCCCTAAATCACGACAGTAGTTTATCTCTGAGGACTTTCCAAAGCTGTCAATTCTCCGGCACAGATCAGAGAATCAGCTGAAACACAGATCCTTAGAATCTACACTGGAGGAAGACTTTATTAAGCTGCAGATTACACAGGTTTGAATAATGGCGTACTGTCTCTTTAAGATGTGGAAGCAGATAAAAGTCTCACATCTGGAGCGAGCAGAAGGATGTTTGTTTAGGGACCGCACTTTATTTGTGTAACGCAACATGAAGGAGATTTACAGATATTTGTGTATCGCTGTGAGTTTGAAAAGATATTTAACTGTTTTAAACTGGTAAAGCTTTAATTGTTTTTCACTGATGCTTTGGAAATAAAGTAATAATATTATATTACATATAATATATATTATATTATAGCAAACGGCGTGAAGGTTTTTATTCTAACTTTAGGTTTGACTTTAGCTTTGTCTAAAAGAACCACTCTGTCAGGAGAATCATTACACACTTTAGAGATGAAGTATCACACACACACACACACGTTTCTTATGGTGTTAGTGTTTAGTCTGGACCGGAGCCAAGTCCTGCTGGAAAATGAAGTCAGACTCAATAAAATTGATGAAAAATACTTTGTGAAGTCCAATATATAATATGGACCAGTCCTGGACTGGACTAGATCTGGACCACAGATGACCACAGAGTCAATATTGATGTGGAAGTTTATTCAGACCCAGAACTGAGGCTGTAGACCCAGGACTGGGACTGTAGACCCAGGACTGAGGCTGTTGACTCAGGACTGAGGCTGTAGACCCAGGACTGAGGCTGTTGACTCAGGACTGAGGCTGCAGACCCAGGACTGAGGCATTTTTCCACCAAACAATGAATGAACCAAAATAATTTGTATTTGTTTATATGGATCCAAGATGGCGTCACGGTTCTTCAGAGCTGTTTTTCTTGCATTGTGTGGACTTAAGAATAAAAAGGTGAAGGCAATTGTAAAAAAAAAAAAAATCTTGACACCCTGTTGAAACACTTGCACATGAGTCAAAGCAAATACTAAAAAGGATTCTGATTCTGCTGCTGGTTTTGTGGGCCGTGACACAGCAGTTTGTTGCGGGTCGAGCCTGGTCCTGGTCTTTGTCCTGAGTGTGATGAGCAGCTCATGTCGCTCTGAAGAGGATGATCCCGGGCGTTTGGCTGCAGCTCAGAGCGGTGCCTGCTCTTTGTCCCCGCTTTGTCCCTGAAACAGGAGGACACACTGGATAGCACTTACACACGCTCACGTTACGATCACTTAAGAGGACACCAAACAGGACTAATTCTGGCTGCGGGCGCTCGCTGCAGAAGTCCCCTCAGATCACGACAACCTGAATACACTTTGATGGCTCCAGGGGCCTCTGCATCAGCAGCGAGTGTCAAGTGGCCAATAGATTCTACTGAATGTGAAAGTGAAACCAAAAGCTCCGCTGGCTGAAACCCGAGCGGCTGGGCCTTTGTCACCGGGAATCTCACAAAGTCCCAACAAAATGCTCAAAATCCTGAGGCCGCTAACGACAGACACACAGCGCTAACAGGACAGATGTGCCAGGTTAGCATGTTAGAAGGTTAGCATGTTAGCAGGTGCCACTATGATAGCTCCATGCTGTGATGCTGTAGATGTTCGGAGAGGATGATGAGTGTTTCTAAAGGTGACTCAGGAAAGTGTCAGTTTCAGGATCAGAAACATGATGCAGCAGAGAATCATGACGCTGCTGGAGCCACAAACACATTATTTACAAATGTTTTAAGAAAAATAAAGGAAAAAGTATGATTACATACAGTACAGATCAAAAGTGTGGACACCATCTCTCCTTCACTAAGTTCTTTCCATGACTATTGGCTGTAGATCCACACCAGGCTGTGTAAGGGCTGTTTGACCAATAAGGAGAGAGATGGTGCTGGGCCACATGACCTCCACAGTCACCGGACCTGAACCCAGTCCAGATGGCTTTGAACCTGAACCCAATCCAGATGGTTTTGGGGCTGGACCACAGAGTGAAGGGGCCAATAAGTGCTAAGCATCATGGGAACTCCTTCAAGACTGTTGGAGACCATTTCAGGTCCTCTTGAAGCTCATCCAGAGAATCCCAAGAGAGAAGCAGTATCAGAGCAAAAGGTGCTACTTTGAAGAACCAGAATATAACACATATTTTCACTTGGTTCATACTTTTTTAGTACGTACATAATTCACTTGAGTTCATTCATAGGTTTGATACCTTCAGTGTCAATCTACAATTTTATAATCATGAAAATAAAAAAACTCTTTGAATGAGAATGTGTGTCCAAACCTTTGCTCTGTGCTGAACGTTTTTATATATATGATGTTCATTGTCAAATGAATAAGTTCAGGTCTTCGGTCTAAACCAGATTTTCTTATAAATCTCCCGATTAAAAAGATCAATGAGACCCAAGTCGTGAAAGCGGATCCTCTGGGTCTACAGTCTCAGTCCTGGGTCTACAGTCTACAAAGATATAGTTTTATCACAAACACAGACTTCATCAGACTGGTTCAGGAAACTGGTTTTTATCCTGTGGGAACGGAAAGGCCTTTATCACCACGGGACCAGAGAGACCAGAGACTGTTCAAAGATCTGCTGCATCAACACAACTCAGACAGTTTTTTCACGTTGTGCAAAAGATATTTGTGTTTCTGCCTCCGAGATGTGTGTTGTTCTTGTGTTGCTGTCTTGTCTGTTTGTAGGGAGAGGAGGTTAGAAGTGTCTGCTTCATCTGCTTTAGGAGTGAGTCTGAGTCTGGGTCTGGGTCTAGGTCTAGGTCTGAGTCTGAGTCAGGAAGAGGGCAGAGTAGGTCTGTGTCCTGTTTACAGATGATCAGGAAGGAGACTGATTAGAACCAGACCCTGACTCACCCCCGCCCCGCTGGGATCAAGGCGCCTCAGGGCGGCCGCGGCTGCAGCTGGGGAGAGGCTGCCTCAGACTTTAGTCATGGTCCAGAGAAAGTACTGATCAAGAACAGGAAGGAGTCGTTCACAGGGACTGGGTCTACAGCCTCAGTCCTGGGTCTACAGGAGAGTGTGTAGCTTTCCAACTGCAGTAAAAGAAACAGTAAAAGTGTGTTTGGCTGCAGAGGCTCATTACCACAGACCTGCAGCCGCCTAAGGGCAGCTGTGGCATCAAGCCTCTGCCAACCAACTAAAGAACATCCATAAACTGTTGGAGACTGAGTTTATGTTTTTCAGGAAATGTTTTCTGACGATCATTGACTGAAGTGTGTAATTAATAACATTAGAACCAGAGAAACAATTCCAGGAGATTATGAAAGGTTGTTTCTTCAAGTCCTCATTAGAAAAGTACCATATCAACCAACTCTGAGGAGCACAGGGACTGGCCTCCTGCTGGTCCCAGAGTCAGGATTAAACATGGGGAGGCATGTTTCAGATTTATGCTAACATCTGGAACAGTCTTCCTGAAAATGTGAGACGGATTCTTCTCTGACATCCAGGTGAAAACAGATGTTTCTGCAACAACTGAAGGACTTTATATTTGATCTTTTTAATGTGATTCTTTACAACGTGAAACCTAAGTGTTGATGATGTTAGTGTCTCTTGTTGGGTTCGATGCCCGTGTATGTAAGTACTCTTTATTTATATACCGCCTTTTCACTGCATGTCGGAGTCTCAAAGCGGTTTACAATTGTTTTTTTTTTTTGGGAGTGGGGCCAGTACAGGAGGCACATGCCAGACCTATTGTACATATTTTTAGTGGTAGGGGAAACCGGAGCACCCGGAGGAAACCTACGCAGACACGGGGAGAACATGCAAACTCCACTCAGAAAGGCCCTGGTCCAACCGGGATTCGAACCCAGGACCTTCTTGCTGAGAGGCGAGAGTGCTATCCACTCAGCCACCGTGCCGCCTGATAAACCTGACGACCCCTGAAGGTTCAGTGTTTCACAATCTGTGGTCAGCGTCCCGGTCCTCATCCCCCTCTCACATAAGTCAAACAGAAGGAGACGGATCCCAGCGCTCCGCAGCAGGAGGAGAGGGAGGCGCCTGGTCCGGGCCTCTCCTGGTCCGGGCCCCTCCTGGTCCTGCCATTGGTCAGAACCCAGGAGGCAAGTTCAGGGAGGACGTTATTCCCAGAATGCATCAGTGCTGAAATCACAGTCAGAGAAAGGTCAGAGCTACACCCCCACGTTTAGACTTTTACTGTTAATCTCTCTCTCTGGTCTCTCTCTCTCTGGTCTCTGTCTCTGTGGGACATAAACAGATGAAGTCCAGGGTTCTGAGGAATGTAGCTCTGACGTCACACTGAGGCTCCTGTGGGGAACAGCCAAAACACACACACACCATACGTATACACGCACAAAAATCTTCATGAATAATGTTTGTGTCGTTTAGTCTGATTAAAAGAACCTTTAAACTTAAAGTCTAAAGAACCTGTTACTGTTGTCAGGCTGACCACGCCCTCCTATGGCTGACCACGCCCCCTCAGACTGACCACACCCCTTCAGGCTGACCAAACCCCTTCAGGCTGACCACACCAGCTCAGCTTGACCACGCCCATCCTCCTGATGCTCCTCCTCTTGATGCTTCTAATGCCCCTCGGCCTGATGCTCCCCTGATGCTCCTCGTCCTCATGATCCTCCTGCTGCTCCACCTTCTGTTTCTCCCCCCCCCCCTCCTGCTCCTCCTTAGAGACACAAACTTCTGTGTTCTACTCACTTAATTTATTGTGAAGATTAAATGATTGTTTCTGAAGTTTGTAAAAGTAGAAAAATGCATTTTCAAATCTCCATCGTATCTTACAAAAGTACACACTTTTATTGACACCAGTCTCTCCATCAGACCTCCTCCTCCTCCTCGATCTGAGAGCACCTCCTCCTCCTCTGTCTGGGACTCTAGTCCAGGAGGAGTCTTTACACCAGTCTCTCCACATCAGACCTCCTCCTCCTCGGTCTGAAAGCACCTCCTTCTCCTCCTCCTCCTTCTCCTTCTGGGTCTGAGCCTCCTCCAGTCCAGCAGGAGTCCAGGAGGAGTGTCTAAAGTCCACATAGATCCACTTCTGGTCCGTGATGCAGGTGATGACAGGCGGCTTTATTTACAGTTTCAGAAAGAGACAGCTCCAGTCCTCAGTCTGTGGAGCTCAGAGGCCTGGACCTGGGCCTGGGGCCTTCTTTACAAACTCATATTCCAGTTACTTTATTCTATATTTCTTGCATTCTAAATGTTTATTCCCAACATAACTAACTGCAGCACAGGGACACAGCTGCTTCGTTCCCTGTGCTGCTTATGTCTCTGTGTTTTGCTTCTGTACCTGTGTGCTATCTTTAGATCAGATGCAGTAAATGAAGAACCTGAAGTGTGAGAAGAGCTAGATGAAGATGAACTGAGGCAAACAGGGTTGGATTGCAGACGGTGCTCCCTATTCACTACAACAGTCCAAGAGGAGAGCCCAGAAGAGGAGAGCCCAGAAGAGGAGAGCCCAGAGGATGTGAGGGGTCAAAGGGAAAAGCTGGAGCTCAAAGTCACAATTGAGATTGTTCAAAACTGAAACAATGAAAAACAGGCCTCAGAGAAAGATGGTGTTGTCTTAGACAGGGCCCGTGGTGTGGGGTCTACGTGGGGTCCAGGTCGGTGTGGTGGTGGGGGCCCGGGTCTACGTGTGGTGGTGGGGGCCGAGGTCTACGTGTGGTGGTGGGGGCGCAGGTCTACGTGTGGTGGGGGCCCAGGTCGGGGTGGGGGCTGGGCGTGGCCTCGTCGTTGCTGCTGTCCACCTCTGTGTCCATGGGGCTGTCCTCCTCCAGCTGCTGACTGGTGAAGTTGGTGATCTCCAGGAACCCACTGGGCTCCACCACAACACTGGACTGACTGGAGTCCGGGAGGATGGAGAACTGCGGTATCACCTGCACACAGAGACCAGAGTTAGACTAGAGACCAGAGAGAGACCAGAGACCAGAGAGGGACCAGAGACCAGAGAAAGACCAGAAAGAGACCAGAGAGAGAGGATCACCTGCACACAGAGACCAGAGACCAGAGTTAGACCAGAGAGGGACCAGAATAGGCCCAGTGCACACTGGTCTCACATGTACTTTAACATGAGAGATATTGAACCATTGAAATAAAACATGTTTGAAATGAGGGTTTTGTTTCATGAATCTGTTGATGAAGTCTGAGGGCGCTGACAAATCAGTTTTAAATATATACACGTTAGATAAAATATATATGTTTTAATGTCGTAATATAGTGATATAGATGCATCGATCGATTTTGGAGTCTGATCTGTGTCGGTGAATCCACAGCTTTGTAAAGTCCTCTGAGATTAGGGGGCGATTAGCGTCATGTGTATGTGGCGAGACAACCCTGGAATAGCGTCATGTGTATGAGGGGTACCTGGAGGACGATACAACCTTGGAATAGCGTCATGTGCATGGGGATGGAGGTACCTGGATGATGTCCATGTCCTCCTTGCTCCTCTGCGCTGCCAGACTCTGGAGACAGCTGTACTGGGGGCCTTTGCTGTGGGAGCTGCTGATGAAGGGCCCCGAGTCCAGGGCCTGGACCAGGCTCTTGGCCAGGGGCCCGCAGTCACTGGAGGAGTCCACCACCATGGGCTCCGTGCAGGGGTCGATCTCCGCCTCCATCATGGAGATCTTCAGGATGTCAGACACAGACTTGTCCCCTGGGGGCCTGGACTCTGGCTGCAGCTTGGCAGTGGCCTCGGCGCTGTGCGGGCCCCCAAAGGTGATCTTAGTGACCGTGGCGCTCTGCGTGATGATGGGCTGCTGCAGGACACATAGGAGGTGGTATAAGGAGGTGGCAAAGATGGAAAACACTGAACCAACAACATCAGGCCCAAAGGTTCAAGTTCCACTAATTCTTTCACCGTGTTTTTTATTAAGAATATTTAGGCCAATGGAGACTAATGAGCTCACTTTCTAATGTATTCAATCCACAAAGACCCCTGGTAACCCTGGGCCTGGTACCCCTGGGCCTGGTACCCCTGGGCCTGGTACCCCTGGAACAGCTGTCTTCATAAAGTATGAACAAACGGGAGGTAAGTGTAAATAAAGTGTTCTTCCAGTGTCTTCATGATGTCCACAGATCCCAGATCAGTGACAGTCCCCATTGTCCTGGACTACTCTCTGACTCTCTGACTCTCTGACTCTCTGACTCTCTGACTCTCTGACTCTCTGACTCTCTGACTCTCCTTCCTGTGTCTGGCGTCTCACGTGTCGTGGTGGATTTCAAACAGAACGGTTTTAAGACCAGTATAAATGGGAAACACCTGCAGAGGACCAGGGGAAGTCCCAGAGTAATGTCACATTCATCTGGACCACAGGAAATACACAAGCATTGTTTGTCAGGATTATCACACTACATAACCCTAGTGTTGTGTTTTTACCTGTAGCTACACAAAATCAGAGACCAGAGAGAGTCTAGACCAGACCAGAGAGAGTCTAGACCAGACCAGAGGGCGTCTAGACCAGACCAGAGGGCGTCTAGACCAGACCAGAGGGCGTCTAGACCAGACCAGAGGGTGTCTAGACCAGACCAGAGGGCGTCTAGACCAGACCAGAGGGCGTCTAGACCAGACCAGAGAGAGTCTAGACCAGACCAGAGAGAGTCTAGCCCAGAGAGAGTCTAGACCAGAGAGCGTCCAGACCAGAGATTTAGTTTAGTTTAGTTTATTCACAATTCACAGTCCCTAAAAGTACATGTGTTACATTGTGAAATAGAGAGCGTCCAGATCAGAGAGCGTCTAGACCAGCGAGAGTCTAGACCAGCGAGAGTCTAGACCAGCGAGAGTCTAGACCAGAGAGAGTCTAGACCAGAGAGAGTCTAGACCAGAGTCTAGACCAGAGAGAGTCTAGACCAGAGAGAGTCTAGACCAGAGACTCACGACCAGACCAGAGAGTCTAGACCAGAGAGACTACAGACTCTACGATGTCGTGACTCTGTGCTGTCGTGACTCTGTGCTGTCGTGACTCTGTGCTGTCGTGACTCTGTGATGTCATGACTATGATGTCGTGACTATGATGTCGTGACTCTGTGCTGTCGTGACTATGATGTCGTGACTATGATGTCGTGACTATGATGTCGTGACTCTATGATAGAGACCTGAGCACTCACCTGATTGGCTGAGGCCTTGTCCATGCTGATGGGGTGGTGTGCCTGCAGAGGGGGGGGGTGGGACATGTCGGTGCGGGGGGGTCGGTGGTGAGAGGTGGGGGCGTGCTGGAGCTTGGGCAGCTGAGGAGTGACTGTGGGTTTGGGGGGGGGCCCAGGAGCAGGGCTGGGTTTGGGGCTGGGGGCGGGAGGCTGTGGAGACTCCCTCAGCTTGGGGGGCTTCTTGGCAAGAGGAGGCGTGGAGGGGGCCAGCTGCTGTTTGCCGTGGGGGTCAGGCTGGACGGGGGTCTGAGCCGAGCGGTAGAAGAGGCCGGTCTGGGGGTCCAGCGTGTCCCCCTCCGCCTCACTGAGCTCCGCGGGGGGGGCAGGTCTGCTGCTGTCAGACACCTGCGCGACACAGGAAGCTTACATTAAAACAAGCACAGAACATGGACAGGAGCTGATGCTAATGCTACTCAGGGGAGAGTGACAGGAGCTAATGCTAATGCAATAAAAGGCAGAGTGACGGGAGCTAGTGCTGTGCCGTGTGTGGGTGTACCCTTGTGTGGGTGTACCCGTGTGTGTGGGTGTAACGTGTACCGTGTGTGCGTGTACCGTGTGTGGGTGTACCGTGTGTGGGTGTACCGTGTGTGGGTGTACCGTGTGTGGGTGTACCGTGTGTGGGTGTACCTGTGTGTGCGTGTACCTGTGTGTGCGTGTACCGTGTGTGTGTGTGCATGTCCCAAGTGTGTGTGTGTGTGTGTACCGTGTGGCTGGCGTGTCCGGACGTGCTGACGCAAGAGTAGGAGGAGGTGAAGGCGGTGGCGGGCTTGGTAACCACGGTAACAGGGACGATCTTCAGTGCCTTCACCAGCGGCGGAGCGGAGGACACCAGCGCCTCCTCTCTGGATTTACCTGGAACTGCAGACACCATCAACTGCAGACATCATCAACCACAGACACCATCAGCTACAGACACAATCAGCTACAGACACCATCAACTACAGACACCATCAACTACAGACACCATCAACTGCAGACAGCATAAACTGCAGACACCATCAACTACAGACACCATGAGCTACAGACACCATGAGCTACAGACACCACCAACTACAGACAGCATCAACTACAGACAGCATCAACTACAGACACCATCAACTGCAGACAGCATCAACTACTGACACCATCAACCCTAACCCTGGTCTCAGGTCTCTGTCCTGAAGTCCTCTCACATTAGTCCTGGTCTCAGGTAAGTAAGTAAGTAATGTTTATTTATATACCGCTTTTCACAGACAAGGGTCACAAAGCGGTTTACAATTGGTATTATTTTTTTGGGCATTTGTCCTCTCACTCCAGACAGAGATGGGAGCGGGGTCGCCGAACAGGAGGCGCATGCCAAATCTATTGTACATATTTTTAGTGGTAGGGGAAACCGGAGTACCCGGAGGAAACCTATGCAGACACGGGAAGAACATGCAAACTCCACTCTTGCTGAGAGGCAAGAGTGCTATCCACTCAGCCACCGTGCCACCGTCTCTGTCCTGAAGTCCTCCCACATTAGTCCTGGTCTCAGGCCTCTGTCCTGAAGTCCTCTCACATTAGTCCTGGTCTCAGGTCTCTGTCCTGAAGTCCTCTCACATTAGTCCTGGTCTCAGGCCTCTGTCCTGAAGTCCTCTCACATTAGTCCTGGTCTCAGGTCCCTATCCTGAAGTCCTCTCACATTAGTCCTGGTCTCAGGTCTCCTGTTGGTCCTCAGAGTCAGGACTAAACATGGGGAGGCAGCGGTTCAGATTCATGCTTCCCTTTCATCCGTGCCCTACTTTATTCCAACACTGCTGCTACAAAGTGTCTGTTAGAGTCCCACGGCTCCGTACAGTCAGGTGTGAACACAGGACTGTGGTACCTGCTGGGACGGCCTCTGCTGTCCCCTGCCCTCCCTCTGTGGGGGAGGTGGAGGAGGTGGTGGAGGTGCTGGAGGAGGTGGTGGAGGAGGAGGTAGTTCTGGGTGGCTCCAGGAGGCTCTTCTCAGGGGCCAGCTGCAGTGGGACGGCCATCTGGCTCAGGTCGATGGTGTGCTGCCTCACTTTGGACTCCGCCTTCTCTTTAGCTACGACAGAAAGTGATCAAACCAATCAACACCTGTGGGACTAGTTAACACCTGAGGGACTAGCTAACACCAGAGGGACTAGCTAACACCAGAGGGACTAGCTAACACACTGTTTTGTTGTGATAAAAATTGTCATGTAAAATACTTTGTCTTCATTCTATCTAAAAACAAACTTATTTTCTTAAGATCTGTCTAAGTCTCATCATCGACATCAGCGGTGGCAGTGACCAAGGTGTGTAGCTGTGTGTAGCTTTGTGTATAGTAATCTTTATTTATATATACCGCCTTTTCACTGCAGATCTGAGTCTCAAAGCGGTTTACAATTATTAATTTTGGGCATTTGTCTCTCACTCCACACAGAGATGGGAGCGGGGTCGCCAGTACAGGAAGCACATGCCAGAACTATTGGACATATTTTTAGTGGTAGGGGAAACCGGAGTACCCGGAGGAAACCTACGCAGACACGGGGAGAACATGCAAACTCCACTCAGAAAGGCCCTGGTCCGACCGGGAATCGAACCCAGGACCTTCTTGCTGAAAGGCGAGAGTGCTATCCACTCAGCCACCGTGCCGCTGAGTGGATAGCACTGTATAGAAACCCTGTGTGTATCTGTGTGTACAGAAACCCTGTGTGTAGCTATGTATATAGAAACCCTGTGTGTCCCTGTGTGTCCCTGTGTGTACCTGTGTGCACCTGTGTGTATAGAAACACTGTGTGTAGCTGTGTGTATAGAAACCCTGTGTGTAGCTGTGTGTATAGAAACCCTGTGTGTAGCTGTGTGTATAGAGACCCTGTGTGTAGCTGTGTGTATAGAAACCCTGTGTGTATAGAGACCCTATGTGTAGCTGTGTGTATAGAAACCCTGTGTGTAGCTGTGTGTATAGAGACCCTGTGCACTTGTTTTCAACTCCTGGTGGGTTCCATAACCTGAGATTCCACTCACGTCATGGGGACTGGTTTTACGTGGTGGGGCCCGAACACCGGACCCCACTGGTCCAAGCTTAATAATCAATGGGTAATGCTTTTCTAACGGTCCTTATGCAGTCTCTGTAAAAATATGGAAAGGACCCCTGGAGGTTTACTTTCCTGAAAAAAGTGTGTTATGTGTCGGAACCCTGGTGGTGGGTTGCGGGATATCAAGGAGGGGCACACTGGGGCAATTTCAGTCCAGCAGGCTGGAGCCAATCATGGAGCAGCACAACAGAGGAAATCAGGTGTCAGGCTAGAAAAAGGTGCAAGTGTGTGGTTCATTAGGCTGCAAGAAATCATGGAGGAGCACACTGAAGCGCACGCTTACAAACCACTGGTAAGTGCTGACTACAAGTCATGACTTCAAATTGTTATATAGAATGATTACAAATTATTTGTTGTTTGTGCAGCTTAGTCAAGAGTCCCTAATTGATGAAGTCGACTCAGATTCTGACGATTTAACTGTCAAGAAGAAACCTGTAAAAAAGTATGGAAAAAGAAAAATCAAAAACACTTTTCTTCAAGACTCGGAAAGTGACGAACCAAAGGCAAATAAGATTGTTATCATGCAGCTGCAAAAGAAGAAAAATGGGGGGCGAGTATACAGCAAGAGACACTTCTGCCTCTACTGTTCAATGTCCTGCCACAAAATGTCCCGTCATTTGACTAGAAAACATGGAAATGAAAGTGACGTAGCCAGAGCATTGGCTCTACCTGTGAAATCTAAAGCACGTAAACTTCAGTTTGATTTGATCAGGAATAGTGGAAACCGTGAGCACAATTTTGAGGTTTTAAAGGCCGGCATTGGAACTTTAGTCCCAGCTAAACAGCCAAATTCCCCAGTTAAATCCAGTGAGTTTTTGCACTGTATAGACTGTGGGGCATTGCTTAAGCGAAAGTCGCTGTGGAGGCATGTGGCCAGGTGCCGGCTTTCACAGAAAGATGCCCAGGCTAAACCAGGTAGAAGTAGGGTCCAGTCCCTCTGCTCCCTAGCCCAGCCTGTACCGGAGGGCATCAGCAAAAAGCTGTGGTCTTTAATTTCGGCAATGCATCAGGATGAGGTCACGGGTGTTGTCAAAGCAGAAAAGGGGATTCTGAGACTCGGAGAGCACCTGTACTTAAAACACGGGCATGATAAGACAAAGCATGATTACATTAGGCAGAAAATGAGAGAAGTCGGTAGGTTAATTAACGAAGCAAAAACCGCAGGGAAACTGAAAACAATTAAGGATTTCTTTATTCCTTCCAACTTTAACCATGTGATTGATGCAGTCAGGTCTGTGGCTGGATATGATGAGGAAACAAATCAATACAAGACTCCATCCTTGGCCCTCAAACTCGGCCATAGCCTCAGAAAGCTAGCAGATATTCTTGAATGTGACTCAAAAATGGAGCATTGTGTTGATGAACTATTTATTAAAAACCTCCAACGAAGCCGGCTGCTTTTTGAGAAGAGGTGGGACGTCTGTGTTTCTTCTGCTGCCCTACAGACCCTCCGGCAAGCCAAGTGGAACACTCCGGACCTGCTCCCTCTGACTGAGGACGTTAGAGCCATGCATGCACATATTGAGGTATGTCGACCTGAATATGTGCAAACCCTAATAAGTGAGCCAACGTCTAAGCATTGGTCTAAACTGGCAGTTTTGACTCTTTGTGAGGTCATCATTTTCAATCGAAGAAGGGAAGGTGAGGTTTCAAAGATGCCACTGACAGCCTTTACCTTAAGAAGTAAGACTGGGATCCATTCTGACATTGCTCTGGGACTGTCCCAACTTGAGAAAAAGCTGTGTCAGCATTTTCAACGCATTGAAATTAAAGGGAAAAGAAGTCGGAAAGTGCCGGTTCTTTTGACTCCTGAAATGATTGCTTCGATGGAGGTGCTGGTGGAGAACAGAAGGGCCTGTTCCATCTCTGACCATAACCCATACTTCTTTTCCCGCCCGGGCGCAGACACCCACATCAGGGGATCAGACTCCCTACGCCAGGTAGCCAAAGAATGTGGTGCGGTGCATCCAGAGATGCTATCCTCAACCAAACTTAGAAAGCACATAGCTACTATGTCTACAGTTCTCAATATGAAAGAGAATGAGATGGACATACTTGCCAACTTCCTCGGCCATGACATTCGCATCCACAGGCAATATTACAGACTACCAGAGGGGACACTGGAGCTGGCCAAAATCAGCAAAGTGTTGATGGCCATGGAGCAGGGAAGAGTGACGGAATTCGAAGGAAAGAGCCTCGACCAGATACAAATTGAGCCTGAAGGTAATTCTTGATATTATTAAAATATGTATGATTTTTTTCCCCTAAAGGCCACTTGTATTTTTATTTTCTGTGCGACAGGGAGAGCAGTAGAGATCCTCTCACAAACGGACGGGCTAAAAGAAACTTCAAGCGGAGAACCTTCAACCATTCATCCAGATGCACCCCATGGTAGTGGCAGTGCCCCTTCTGGTAAGTGTACCAGGTGGGGGATTACAGCCAGGCTGCTTGGTCCTCACCCTGGGAGTGTATATTGCTAATATATTTTTATTTCTCTCCCTAGAACGTGTAAGAAAGCCATGGTCTGCATCTGAGGTGAAGGCTGTGGAGAAGACCATGACACCTTTCATACAGACTGGAAAGGTCCCTGGGAAGTCTCACTGCCTGGCCTGCATTAATGCCTCACCAGATGACCTTAGACATCGGACATGGAGTGGCATTAAATTCTATGTCAAAAATAGAATCACTGCAATTCGAAAACAAAATCTAAAATAAAATTCCTTTAAAATAGTTGTTTGGTTTCTATTGACTGTTTTGTATTACTTAAAGTCTTGGTAAAAAAAGATTATGTCTATGGGTCCCATTCTGAACGGCCCTGTCAAAGGGACCCACCAGGTAACAAAAACGTGTATGTGTGTGTAGCTGTGTGTATAGAAACCCTGTGTGTAGCTGTGTGTAGCTGTGTGTAGCTGTGGTACAGGTCCCACAGTTTGGGGACTTTGAAGTGGTGTCAGGTGAGCTCCAGGAGGCGGCCATTATTCAGATCCTGACACGCCTCCAGAGCTCAGGGGAAAACACACACATGCACTATACTCATGCACTAGGGCTTTGACTTTTAGACAAAAATCATATTCAAAGTTCGTTTATTAATTTAAATATTCGAATACGTCACTACTTCTGTCTGTGCAGGGAAGCTATCGGAGTTAGCCACGTTCAATGCCACAAATATCAATCAATCAATACATTTAAATGTTAATGGGAGAATAAATTATTCATATACATTCTTAACACACATGCATGGAGGTTTTCAGAATTATCTGTAAACGTTGACCAAAAACGATCGCGAAAAACCTTGAAGTAACTATTTTAGGACACATTTGAAGAGGATCTGATTATGGATTTAGGTTCGGTATATAAATGGGTAACTCACCGCTGATGTACAGAATTCTTTGTTAAGTTTTCATGTAGTTCCAGAGAGTTCTAGTTAGTTAGCTAGCATAGCTGTTACTAGCATAGCTGTTACTAGCATAGCTGTTACTAGCATAGCTGTTACTAGCATAGCTGTTACTAGCATAGCTGTTCGAATATACAGTATATATATATATATACAGTGCCTTGTGAAAGTATTCGGCCCCCTTGAACCTTTCAACATTTCGCCACATTTCAGAATTCAAACATAAAGATATAAAATTTAAATTTTTTGTCATGAATCAACAACAAGTGGGACACAATCGTGAAGTGGAATGAAATTTATTGGATAATTTAAACTTTAACAAATAAAAAACTGAAAAGTGGGGCGTGCAATATTATTTGGCCCCTTTACTTTCAGTGCAGCAAACTCACTCCAGAAGTTCAGTGAGGATCTTTGAATGATCCAATGTTGTCCTAAATGACTGATGATGATAAATAGAATGCACCTGTGTGTAATCAAGTCTCCGTATAAATGCACCTGCTCTTTGATAGTCTCAGGTAGGGATGTAAAAAACTATGAATTTTCATGACCGACCACCGAGCCTCATTAACCGGTTGAAACCGGTTAACCGCG